TTGGATATAAGGCTAGGTAAATCTGGGTATCATCTGCATAGCTGTGATAAGCTATATAATAAGGTAGTTAAAGATAAATAAACAGGACATTGATACATACATGGAGTATAGCAGCATTTGCAAAAGTTGTAGTGACAGGTAAATAAGTGTGTTTTTATTAACATAATTATATATATATAATATAGAGTATATATATGTACATGAAGTGTAGCAGCATTGATATGAGTTATAGTAGATAAATAAATATGTTCTTATATATATATATATATATATATATATAGTGCCTATGAATAATAGAGTTTTGCACATCTGTATGTAGTATAAGTAATTACAAGTCTATGAATTAGGCAGAGGTGTTGATGTAACCTCATTTGTAAGGCACTGATTGTCCACTTTTCATTTTGCAGGACAAATAAAGACTCCAAAAAAAGCCATTTTCATCTCAAGGGAACCTTCTTCCTGGGCCCACCTGAGCTGTTACTTTACCTCATAAATCAACGACTGTTCCGTTTTTGAGTTGTGGTGAGGATACGTGGCCCAGTTGCTCCAGTTTGAAGTCTGACATTTGCAAGAGGAATGGACTCACAGGGAACGTATAATCGGAAGGCAAGTGAATAGAAGAGCTTTAAACATTCCAGCACCACAGATTATCCACTTTCAGGCAAAACACACACACACAAACACACACACACACACACAAGATTACAGACAAAAGATCAACTTTGACCTTTCAATATGTCTTTTTGGTTTAAAAACAGGTCACAGGGATTGAACACCTTTGAAATGTCAGTTAGGAAAAATATATAGGCTATTTTTATTGCTAAATCTATACATATACTCCTAAAAATATAGCAATATTGAGAATAGTTGTTGAGGATAGTTGTCAGTGCATTGCTGTGTGGTTGCTAAGATGTTCTGGATGGTTACAAGGTGGTTGCTCTGGTGTTGTACATGTAATGAGCAATTGATTTACTATAGTCATTATCATTAATTCGTTTTTCAATTAACTTCAGTGATATTATGGGAAGTTACCTTTGTAATCCCTGTAATGGAAAAATGGGAAAAGTCACTGTTTGAGGCCATAAATTACATGCCAAGTTTTGTTGTGTCAGTATTGTTGAATTCCAAGAAGAAAAGGCTATCATTACTCTCTTTGTACCCTTGAAAAAAGCACTAAATTCTAGATTGCTCCAGTGGACCAGACATGTGTAGGTTAAGTCTTAGCATAACACACAGCTTAATAAAAATGAAACAACTCAATTAGTCCTGCACATCTGAATGAGTGGAGGATTGTTGTTGCAAATGTCTCTCCCTTTTTTTTTTCTCCCCGACGACCAACCTGTTCTCTTTTGGTTTATTCTATTGTTACCACACTGTATAATCATGATATAGTAATTGTATTCAGTCATTATTTGTAAGCCCAGTTATTCAGTTATTTTACCCCAGACACATTTGTTATTCATATTTAACAACATATTAATTCATATTTAATCACATTCATATTTAACAACAATACCAGTTTTGCAGTCTGTGTACAGTATGCATACTGCATGCTACTATCTTTTGAAAATAATATGTAATATGCAGTGTTGGGGAAAGTTACATTTAAAAGTAAAGCATTACAATATTGCGTTACTCCCTAAAAACGTAAATAATTACATTACTTAGTTACTTTTTATGGAAAGTAATGCATTACGTTACTTCTGAGTTACTTTTTAAACCTGGGCAGGGCTTGCTTGTTTGTTTTTAATATTAAAAAAATCTTGTTTTACAAATGTCCTTTAAAGGGGTCATCGGATGCCCATTTTCCACAAGTTGATATGATTCTTTAGGGTCTTAATGAAAAGTCTATAACATACTTTGGCTAAAATTAAGACTAAGTTTGAGTCTTACCTATCAGATAGGTCCTTCAAAGTATCTTGGAGAGGTGAGGTGTCCAAGTCGCAACATCTAACTACTGGGGTGCCTCAGGGCTCAGTTCTTGGACCACTTCTCTTCTCTGTCTACATGGCATCATTAGGTTCTGTCATTCAGAAACATGGCTTTTCATACCACTGCTATGCTGATGACACTCAACTCTACCTCTCATTCTATTCTGATGATCTGACGATAGCTGCTCGCATCTCAGCTTGTCTAACTGACATGTCTTGCTGGATGAAGGACCATTACCTTCAACTCAACCTTGCCAAGACAGAACTGCTTGTGGTTCCAGCAAACTCATTGTTTCATTACAATTTCACCATCCACACCAACCATAACTCCTTCAAAAACAGCCAGAAACCTTGGAGTTATGATTGATGATCAGCTTACTTTCTCAGACCACATTGCTAAAACGGTCCGGTCCTGCAGATTTGCTTTATACAAAATTAGGAAGATCCGGCCCTTTCTTTCAGAACATGCAATTCGGTTTAGTGTCAGCTTGCTAAAACTGATTCAGAGTGTCCGTACTGTAGGCCCTGTCGTGCTCCTCCATCCCCTCGGCAGCCAACCCTCAGGCCCTCACTCGCTGAATCCGTGAGAACCGGTAGAGGACTGAGTTCCATATGTAGAGGCCTAAGTGGTTCCCATATGTGTAAATTCCACGGTGTAGCCTCAGAGCCCGTGTTTCCCCGGCAGACTTCTGCCATTTCCATGAGGGTTACAATCACCTCTAATCTTCCATATGCACCTAAACGGATGTCATATGTGTAAGTGCTTCCAAAACCTCCTTCGGGAAGGATGGGGCTTCCGCAATGTTCCTGTTCCAAGTGGAATGGGTACGTTTTCCCAGTGTTATCTAATCTCACTTAGTGGGTAGTGCTATGACAACAGTGCCTACACCGCAAAGGGGCGCAGGCGGCTCGAACAGGACACTGGAAGGGGCAGCATCTATGGCGCTTTGGTAGGGATCCCAATTCGTCGGTGACCGATGTGACTCGGAGTGACCGACTGAAAGGGAACGTCTCGGTTACGTATGTAACCCTCATTCCCTGAAGGAGGGAACGGAGACGTCACGTCCCGTCGCCACAGCTGCTGTACCACCGCTGAGCGGCCGGGTCACCGGCTCGGCTCCTCAGCGAAAACCTGGTATGCGTTGCACCGGCTGCCTTTTTATGTTTACGCTGTGATCAGCGGTAGCTGGATGCAATCATCGCATGCCAATGTGCATTGGCTCGTTTAGTTTACACTCGAAGTGGATTGGTCTCTCTAAGCAAGATCCCAATTCGTCGGTCACCGATGTGATGTCTCCGTTCCCTCCTTCAGGGAACGAGGGTTACATACGTAACCGAGACGTTACTTAAGGAAAGTAATCTTATTACATAATTTGAGTTACTTGTATTGCATTACCATCAACACTGATAATATGTATGATAACCACCACATTTTTATAAGAAATCCATGTTTATAATTTTGTATAGATATACTGTAAGAGACTAGCCTATGCATACAGATTCTCTTTCTGTACATGTTCGCTCAGTTAGACAAATGAGCTCGAGTGAATTTCTTCACATCTGCCATAAAGCACTTTAGCAAGGACTGTGAAACCTGCTGCTCTCAGCAGTTTCCATCACTGCACTGTAGCGATAAGGAGCTGAGAGATGTCTTGCCTTTCTGTTTGATCCTCTTTCTGGCTACTGTCCTAACCACCATCGTTAGGAATGTGTTTACAGGCTTTATAGATACAGTACTAAAAGATTACACTATCGAGATTGTGTGTGTGTTTTTTGTCAAAATGTTTTGCCACATCTGCTAATAGTGCATAAAATTGAGAAGGGCGACCATAAATAACAGCTATTTTATATAGCCTACTTGATAAATAAAGATTTGAAGCATTTGGTGCTTGGGAAGTGTTAATTTTAAACTTTGCTTGCATCCATACATTTAATGAATGAATGAACTTATATTTGCACTTACACATTCTGATTTATGCACTGCGTCTGAGCATTATAATTAGTATTATTTATTGAATAAAACAAACGAACAAACAAAATGTTTTATTAATCCATCTACCTAAATGAGTTACTCGTTTTAAGTAGCTGAAAGTTCCTGGACTTCAGGAAGCCACAGCATCTTTGTTGTGGCTTCATTTTAATTAAGCTCTCTGATATATACTGCAACATTACCAATTAGTTTACCTCTCTGTACATTGGCCTTAACTTTCAGAGATGATTGAGTGGAGCACCCTCGTTCTGCGTGTGTTAGTTGATGTTTTAATAACGGGCTGAACACTACGCTGTGATTGGCTGATCAGCGGGATGCTCAGGTGCAGGAGGAGGATGCGAGCAGCCGCTGGATGTCACCATGTGTGTGAGGAGAGATAGCCACGCTGAGAGGGGGAAAGAAAGCTGACTAATAAAGGGCTAATCAATTATTAGCCATTTAATTTATTCCTCAAACAGTAACTTAACCGCTGCAAAAATAAGCCGCTGTAAATAGACGCAAATCCTGTAAATCAGTTCGCACCAGTCGGCGCCCCATAAGCTAAAGCGCATGACTGTGTGTGTGCCTGCGTGGGAAATCACATATCACCGATCAATGGAAGTTAACCAAGCCAAACCCGCCTGGCTGTCAGTGCGTGGACGTCTGTAGCCTGCGGACCGCGGATGTTGATTTCGCGTAAGTTTTGTGCAGATGTCACATTGATTCTGTGTGGATATTATTGCATTAGCTGCTTAAATCGTTGATGAATGTGCAAAAGTTTGTGTGTGAATTTTACAATTGCTCAGTACAATGAGAGGATGAAGAGAGGTCAATGTTTATGTGACCCGCTTGTATATTGCAGTTATCCATTTCTACATATCTTACATGCAAAGTGTGCTAGGTGCACCTGACACATTCAGTCCTGACCATATGGCAAGCTGTTTTAACATTCAGGTATTAAACGAAGTAGTTTGTGTTTTATGTCATCAGTACTTTAATAATCATTTATTATTAAATGCTACTAGTCACCAAGGGAGCAGGAGACATTTTCAAAGTGGGGGGGACCAAACTGTAAGCAAAGCCCAGATCGTAAGATCAGATTTCCAGATATCGGACCACCACTTCAGGCTCACCGTCGGACTACCATCTTATATTAAATTTGCCTGATCATTAATATAATAATATTGATTATTATTACAATACGAAGTTAGGCTACATTTATTGCTTAAACCAGTTGTTCTCAAACGTTTTATACCAAGTACTACCTCAGAAAATAATTGGCTCTCTAAGTGACTAACATTAAAATACAGTAGTGTAGTAGGCCTTACTATTCAGCTACAGCTCTGCACAGTTAAAAAACAAAGCATTTTGATTCCTAATAAGAATATTTATTGTTGTCAACTACTTAACTATAATGCTAACATTAACACTGCACTGTGCTTACATACAGGAAAAAAAAAAATTTTTTTTTTAAATAATTATTAAACTAAAATGTGTTGTACCTAAAAGTTAAGTAAAAACTGTACTGCCCTTAAATGTGTAAAAAAAAACTTTACTCAAAGATTAAATTAAAATTTATTGTGTTTTAACATTAATTTATATTTGAGTGATTCCTCTGCTTACTTGTACCACACTTTTAGAACCATTGACTTAAACAATTATCTCTTTGATTAAGTCATTTAGAATTTAAGGCCATCACAAACATGGCTAAATGGCATCTGGGGGAATGATGACAACTTAAACTAAAATGTGTTGTACCTAAAAGTTAAGTAAAAACTGTACTGCCCTTAAATGTGTAAAAAAAAAACTTTACTCAAAGATTAAATTAAAATTTATTGTGTTTTAACATTAATTTATATTTAATTGAGTGATTCCTCTGCTTACTTGTACCACACTTTTAGAACCATTGACTTAAACAATTATCTCTTTGATTAAGTCATTTAGAATTTAAGGCCATCACAAACATGGCTAAATGGCATCTGGGGGAATGATGACAACTGGCAGGGCATGTATAAAATTATTGTCAACTTACCTTAATTGCCTTTTGAAAAAGGAGGCAATACTGTTCTGTTTCGCTGGCTTCATCTTTCTGGTTGTGCCAAGCAGACTACAAGAAATTTGTATTGCAGTTGAGACAGGCACAAGTAAGACAACTAAATTCACTGCCTGTTTAGGACTGCTATCAGAAGCACCATTAGAAGAAGATGATGTACCGTTCACTGTCAAATAGGTATAGGTTACATACATGTAGGCTAAAAACAAATGCAATCGTAATTTATTTTCTCATTATTATGGAATAAACATTTTAATAAACATCGGTGTATGGTTTGAATGACAATGAATGTACAGTGATGTTCGTTGTCTGAAGTTTTATTTAATGAATCACGCAGACTATTTTCCCTTATCGAAAGTGTGGGGGTCGACTGCTGTCTTTTCAAAACCACGGGAGTCATGACCGCCCTGTGTCAATGGCGCGCCTGCTAGCCACTATCCCAGTGACACTTACTAACAGATTTTTGCCACTGAATTGACTCAATCTGTAGTTCAGATATAGAATATTCACTTCTGACTAATTTGTATTCTAATTATTGCTGGTACCTGCAGTATTTCCATTTTTACTAGTTGAATAGTTACTAGCATGTATTTATTGGACACTATTGTTTTATTGTCCTGTAATCCATTTGTTAGCCTGCTAGTAACATATTTTTTTAAATGTTACTAGTATTTAACATTAAACCATACAGTAGCCATTTTGACTATATGGTATACTGTACATGACAAGTAAAAAGCAGCTGTAGCTAATAAGTTACTAGAAATGGCACAAGTACAGTACTACTATCTATATACTACTTACTACTGTAATAAGAAATATGTATTAGTATCTAATTTCAATCTAGTATTAGTATTAGCAAACTGCACCAGAAACAGGTGAAATTCATACTAGCCAGAATTGAGTAGCTGATAAATGACTCACAAATGAAAATAGTTCACAATGAAATAGTTCCTTGCCACTATTGAGATTATGGCTAGTAGGAAAGGAATATTTACTAATAACTAACATACTAGATTCCAGTTACTGTTTAATTACTTGTTCATTTTGAAGCAAAGACATGTCGGTTCCACATGCATTTAACTAATTCACAACATTTAAAGGAGTAGTTCACTTCCAGAACAAACATTTACAGATAATGTACTCATCCCCTTGTCATCCAAGATGTTCATGTCTTTCTTTCTTCAGTCGTAAAGAAGTTATGTTTTTTGAGGAAAACATTTAAGGAATTATCTCCATATAATGGACTTCTGTGGTGCCCGTGAGTTTGAACTTCCAAAATGCAGTTTCAATGCAGCTTCAAAGGGTTCTAAATGATCCCAGCCGAGGAAGAAGGGTCTTATCTAGTGAAACGATCGGTCATTTTCTAAAAAAAAAAATAATATACTTTTTAACCTCTAACGCTCATCTTGTGTAGCTCTGCAATGCACATGCGTACTCTGAGCAGTCCCGTCCGAAACAGTTAGAGTAGGTCAAAAAACTCCCATCTCATTTTCTCCTTCAACCTCAAAATCGTCCTACATCACTGCAGAAGTATCGACGCAGTGTTTACAAAGTGAACATGCAAAGAAGGTCAAACGCCCTTTATAAAAAAAGGTAAAACAGCAATGTAGGATGATTTTGAAGTTGGAGGAGAAAATGAGATGGGAGTTTTTCGACATACCCCTAACTGTCATGAACCGGAATGCACGCAGAGCTAGACAAGATGAGCGTTTGAGGTTAAAAGTATACAAATTGTAATTTTTTTTTAGAAAATGACCGATTGTTTCGCTAGATAAGACCCTTCATCCTCGGCTGGGATCATTTAGAGCCGCTTGAAGCTGCATTTAAACTGCATTTTGGAAGTTCAAACTCGCGGGCACCATAGAAGTCCACTATATGGAGAAAATTCCTGAAATGCTTTCCTCAAAAAATTTAATTTCTTTACGACTGAAGAAAGAAAGACATGAACATCTTGGATGACAAGGAGGTGAGTACATTATCTGTCCATTTTTGTTCTGGAAGTGAACTACTCTAACAAAAGCACTTTTAACATTTTTTTTTCTGCATTTCACTTCAGCTTTTAGCTTGCATGCTAATCTTGGCATTGTGTACTGCAAATATCATTCTCTGTTATGACAAATTGCGTGTGATGTCGCTTTGAATAAAAGTCTGTGCTGAATGAATAAATGTAAGTATAGTTTTAATTAATAAATGTTACTACAGCTTGCCATACTCACCCCCTTCTGATCACAGTGATGCTGGCTTCCTAGAGAGAGGGGTTGTTTTATCATTCATTCATACTTTTTGCAGTATTGCAGTAGTATTTCACTTCATCGGTGTAAACCCCAGCTGACCACCCAGAACTGCATTTGTGGAGAATGCATTGTGTGAATGTAACATCTGTTTGCCACTTCATTCTGCCTCATGGTTGCGTTATAGGTGGATAAAGACCGCTCAATGAATCATCCTCTCCGCATGCATTGAGCCAACCTGCCTGCACAGCTGCTTTGATTAATTTACCATACATGACAGTGTATAATGACTGACTGATGCCTGCTGTTTTCACTGCATTGTTAAGACAGGGTAACAGGAGCGTTTTTTATTATTACTGCTGTTGTTAAGAAAGAGATTTGGTCACGAGAGTGGGGAGAATTTGTGACTTATTTCATCCAAACATTGCAATTTGATATGTTTTCATAGCTGGTTTACCATTGCGTTTGTAAAACTACCTTTTATATACTTAATTCTGACTGGCCAATCTCAGAATTTTGTGGTCAAATATTTTTGACTGTTAAACTGACTAACTGACGGCTGTCCATTAAGAGAGTACGATTTAATAGTTTTGTGTTTCTCAAATCAATATTTCCTGTCCATTTGCTCATTTGTTCGTTCATTCACTCATTCATTTACCAAGTCATCTTGTAATAAGTGGCATAATGTGCAGTCAGCCATGCATAATAGCAAAATAAACCGCTTCAGCGTGATACTAGACCTGCATTGGGGTTCATTTGTGGTTAATGTTAAGAAAATTACCAGCTGACTGTCAGTTACCACTTATGTTGAACTGAAGAAGGTTTTAGATTATTGTATTATAATATTTCATAATATTATTTGCCAAAAGTTATTTGCCATGGTTTGTTGTATAGTTAATGTTATTGATAGTACACATTGATAAAATGTTAGAACAGCATTCTGCAGTTTTTTCTGAAGTGTTATTATTTTGAACGTTTGTGAGTCTAAAGTGATAATTAAAATGCAGTGCTTTCCTATATAATGTACTCTTAAACAGATTTTTATGTTTGTATGTTATGTACCTTGTATGTTTTTTCAGATAAGTAGAAATATACATATGCCTAAAATTAAAATGGCCTTGTACTCAGAATGAGTTTTAAAATCATGGGAAAATTTTTAAATTAATAGCACAATACCATGATGACTAAAGCGAGTGGCAGCTGGAATCCTGTGATCCAACTCTTTTGTGTAGTGGGAAATTGCACTCAGGATATTTCGAGCAGCCCTGAATAATGATACTTGAATCAAACACTGCAGCATGTTGAGCTGAAATGGAGGCCAGTCTGATGGATTGGGGTAGTTACATTAGAGCCTAAAAGAGAATGCGTTTTCCTCCTCTCCCCAGTCCCATTATTCAGCACAGACAAACGACCCAAATGACACAGATAGAAAAGCAATTACTTCACACCATGTTTCTTATTTGTAGGGTGAATGTATACCTTATATCTTTCCAAGAAAGTGTCAGTCTTCTAGTTTTGAAAGTGAGGTACTGCCATCAGCACAGGTGAGCTAAAAGTAGTTTATTTCTGATTATGGCTATATGGTAATTTAATGAATTAAATAAACCTTCATGCCTTAACACTCTCTAAACAGTGATTAGTGGTGTTTGCTAAGGCCGACATTACAATGACTGTTTCTATGTGTGCTATGGACATGAATGATATCTCAAATTGTGTTGATTATATAAACAGTAAACCAGGTGACTCTTATATCTTCAAAAAAAGGGCATTTTTGAGGAAAGTGCATCTGTATAACCCCCACCCCCAATAAGCTGTACCCACTAAGTGAAGTTTTGGCTCTAAACAGATGAGTACAAAACAGCAAGGCTATGTTTGGTCATTGTGTATATGTATTTACTGCATCTGAGATGTCCACCAGGAATCTTGATTGTGACAGTAGCTACTAGAACAAAGCACATCCTGAGCTTGACCCACATTTAACCTTCCACTGCTGAGCACAAGCTCCCCTGTGCTGTATTATTGCCCCTCCCTCTGCAGAATATTTTCACTTTTACATGTGAATAATTTTGTACACAAATGTATTTATTTAGATTTATTTATTTATAAATAATATATATATATATATATATATATATATGCATACATACATTTGGTCCCCTGAAATAATTTTTACTGGGTTTGACTACATTTTTTAGATTACTAGCCTTGCATACTGTTAGCCGATTAGCCTGCTAGCTTAGCAGAAATATTAAATTATTTGGTTTTATTTGTATTTGTTCGATCAGGCATTTCAAACATGGTCCTAGATAGAATCAGCTCTACAGGCAAACCTAATCTCTATGGAACAATGTGTATAAACAAAATAAAAACTGTGGTCACTATACATATACTGTATACAGTATGCCAATAAGGCAATGTCTTCATGTCTAAGTGGATAGTCCTTGACCAGAATAAGCTGCAACATGAACTGGACTTTATGCTGTCTTGTCAAATGTCTGTCTATATTATACTGTAAGACTGCTTCCTATTTCTTTCTCAATATATATGCATAGTTAGTTAGCATCTAATGTAGCTGTCAGACTGTTTTTCGTCTTCCAGGATCTCTGAATATAGAGTTGTGTGACGAGTTTTGGGTGTTTGCATTAGAATTAGCCTTCTGGATCTTTGAGAATTGCTGAAATGCTGTCAAGAAAATAGTTAGTTGCCTATATGTCTTAGTGTGTGTCTTTGTGTGTGTGTGAGGATTGTAAACAGGTGGAGTGTAATGTGATTGGTGGAGCTTAAAGGGCACAGCTGACTGAGTCATCACCCAGAGGCTGCATTTAACGTCATACACTCTCTCTCCTTCTCTTTGTCAGCATCTCTCCCCCTCTCCTTCTCTGTAATACTATCTCTGTCTCTTCCTATAATTGTCCCACCTCCTTCCACACAATCTCCTCCTGTTCCCCATTTTATTTCATGGCTCTTCATCAATAAGCAGCTACAGTATCCCCCTTTAATGTGCATCCCTAACAGTTTAGTAAGCAAAATAAACATATATGTTTGATATGTCCTTTAAAAAATACTGGCTGATATGGACATCCATTTTTATTTTAGTGCATAATTCTCGGAACCCCTTTTATCTTATCTGTCTCTCTTACTTTTCACCTCCGATGATGAGCCTATTCTGAAATGTCCTCATCTCTCCCAGCCCCATGTAGGACCATATTAAGAGAGAGAGAATGTATGTGAGATCTTGGTCCACAGGTAGAATTTTCCAATGACTGTAGCCTGGCTGAGCACATTAATGCAGCTCCAAATCCACGTGTGCATTGTACCAGTCTTATCTTAGGCAGCCTGTTTGCTTGTTAAAGATAACCGACTTGTTTTGCAGGAACTCTTTAGTATAAATGCATTTTATGGTTTTATGTTTGTGTATTTATATCCATTTATGTGATTTCTCTGTGGAGAAATATTAATTTGCTATGCCATTTAAATCATGACTTTGTGATAAACATTTGCCATTGATTTTGGTATTTGTTTTTTGGTAGTTATTTATCTCTCCAGATACACAAGCAGTATGTATGTATTTATGTATGTATGTATTTTTATTGAATACACACTTCCTGAGGTGCATTTGTATTTGAAAATGGCCTGGTTTGACCATCATGAATAAACACGACAGTTTGTTTTTCATTTAATTTACTGTTTATGACAGATTATTTTAAACAACTGAAACCACACAAATACACAGGCTCGGGGAAAAAATCCATGAAAACACTGGACTTTGTCAAGTTGTAGACTTCCAAAAGTAACACATACTGTAAGTTTCACAGATGTAACTCAGAAAATAAATGTATTTCAAAGATTTGATGCCACTGACCTACAAAAACTTTGCCAAATACAGTGGTTAGTTCTGCCTCATAAGTGCTCACTGTAGCAGTCTGGTACATTTTTAAAAATATTGTTCCAGAAAGTTGTTAAATTCATCCTATGAAATTCGTATAATCAGATAAGACCTTGCCAGATTGAGAATTTGCTCCATCTGAGGCTGAGACTAAAAAGGAGAAGAAAAAGACAATTATAAGGAAGTGATGAATGAGGAGAGACAATGTTTTAAACTGAAATAGTCTTTTATTACTGTCCAGACTGGTCAGCCAGCACTTAAGAGGTAACATACTATGTTTGTGTATAAAATAAAGCCATTGTGTAAATGTGTGACCTCAATATTGGAATTTCAAATATTTGTTATTGTGAAAGTCAATCCCTTTCAATCCCATGCAATCCAAGCATTTTTCAGTTTAGACAGAATGACTTTAATTTCTCTCTTATTTCTCAGTGACCTCCAGGCTTTATCTTCAAAGTCTTTAAGGACAACCATTTGTGATTCCAGCGACCTTTGACCCTTGACTCCAAAGCAGTGATGGGACGTAAACTGGACCTGTCTGGTCTGAGCAATGATGAAGCAGAGCATGTGCTCAGAGTGGTACAGAGAGACATGCACCTCCGTAAGAAGGAAGAGGAGAGGCTCAGGTAACAGCACGCGTGAGTGTGAGACATTAGTGAAGATTTAATTTGATTTCATTCGGCTGGCAGTTCTGAAGCCTTGAGTATTGAAAATGGTGACTATATCATTTGTTCTGATGCTAATTCAAAGATGGTGCCTCAAGATGGTTGTGCCAGGTTTGACATCTTTGACATCAGGCAGTAATGACGTAAAGTTTTAAAATGTTTTGAATTGAATTCAGATGTGTTATTTAAGAGCTACACAGTGTTTCCCACAGGATTTTGTGAGACTGTGGTGGGCGGTCCTCGACTCCTCTAGGGGGGTCCGGGGGCATGCTCCCCCGTAAGAAAATGTTTAACATTTTAAAGTTAAATTCATAAATCTGGTGCACTTTGAGAGTTCAAAATTAAGAGCTACAACACAGGTTCAGTCACAGTGTGCAAACTAAAAGAAAAAAAGCCGGTAAATGTACTTGTTCTTGAAATTTAAAGGGGACTCAACCCTCTTTTTAGTTGTGATATAGTGTCTCAGTCTCACTGGTGAATTTAGAAGCCAAACAAATTAGAATAAAATAATAATAATACTTTTATATTATTATTCCTATGACAGTAATAGCCATATATTGTAAAACAATTGCACTGTGAAATAAATGAAAATGATTTTTTTTTTCAGGTATATTATTTTACCTTACTCTACAGTAGGGAAATTGCAATACTTTTGTCCTAATTTCTACACTTGCAAGCAGGGCCTAAAACTAACTTTCACATCTGCCAGTGGCTGGTGACTTGAGAAAATTTACCGGCCATAAATATTTTTCCTTGCCATGAAACTGTTGCTACTACTACAACAACTAAACATTTAATTTAAGTAAAAAAAGCCATTTGAAATTAGAACCAACCACTGCATTTTAATCACGATACAAACAAAGATGCATAGATAAAACCTGCATGAAACTAAAACAGACAGGCTGAATGAGAATTCAAATTCACTCTCTGACAGCAGGTGGCGCTTATGGATCAGCAATGATAAGAGGGGAAAAATGCCATCCAAACATTTGTGAAGTCAGTTCCCTTCAGAAATACATTCATATAAACCCCCACCCCAATATTTATATTTTTCTTCCCAACAGTGAGCTTGCTGTACCTGTACAGTATTTTCTCTGTGTGCGTCTGTTAATTTTAGGCCATGCTTGCAAGAGATAAACCCTTGAGCTTTTATTTTGGCGGAAACTTCAGTTGAGCTTTTATTTTGGCGGAAAACTCCAGCTTCTGTGAAAACAGGTTTACAAACATTACTAATTTAATGAAATACTGTAAAAATGTTCCCATTAAAATGTTGAAAATTATGCAAATGTGCAAATTATGCATAACTGGTGGCCGTGGCGTTCCCAAACGCGTGCTAAATTTACAGCACATTCAATAACGGAGTTCACTGCATTCACTGTGAACGGAGCCGCTCTGAGAGACTGAGACGCGGAAAACACCGGATCACGAGCCGATCGCGTGCGCAATGTGCGCGCTTCACTTTGAAACAAGCAGCGCAAACAGACTTGATAAGTCATATTATTCACTTTCGGTTTTAATTCGTTTGACGGATACTTGTCAAAGCAATGGCGTGAAACACAACGTTAAATAACTTTTTATGTTATTTGATAGGTATAAATATATCTTAGGTGTATTATGAAACCGTGGCGGGACAGATTAGACTGTGGCGGGCCGTCACACTAGTTAATGTATAGGAAACACTGGCTACAATAGAGGGCTGAAGATTTTCACCAAATAAGTACTTAAAATTTGCTCTGTTTCTCACACAAAGCTATCATATTGTTTTAGAACACTTAAAATATAGTACATAAATCATATAGACCACAATTGTGGTACTTTAATGCTGCTCTTTGTCCTTTTTTTGAGCTTGACAGCTCAAGATGAAAAAGGTAAGAACCTTTTGTGTTACATACTGTAAGTTGTCAAGTTTTTATATAATTTAGATTTTTTTTAAGTAATTTATGCAATTTAACAGAAGCTGAGCCAAAAAGCTCAAAGATTCAAATTTATGTGCAAATGATGATAGTGAGTGTGTGATGACCATCTCTTAATGTCATGTGAAATGCGATGTGAAAACCCATATACTGTATTTCCATGCTACTCTTTTTCGCTGTCTTTAATATTGAGGTTGCCGGTCAACTACTTTTCTTTTTTCTTTTGTCTTTTTGGTGTATTCACCAACACTCTACAATTGTAGTGCACTCTGGAGATAATAACTAATCACAGGGCTGTCACTGTGATGTATGATATTTATGTTCTGAAGCTATATAACATTGTTGCTACTGCATTTCTTGGCTAGAATGCACGTGCAACATGTTTGTTCTTAGTGAAAATACAGTAAAAATGCAGTGAAAGTTTTGCTTTTTAAAACAATGTCAGCACTTATTTTGGCAGTTGGTATGCCGTTGGCATGCAGTTGGCATTTCCCATGAGTCTTTGTTTCTGTCAGAACTCATTGGTATGGGTCGCGGGGTTAGACGGTTTCCATTAGGAGTACAATTTATGTTACACACACACCTTGCTGAGTCTTGTTTTGCTGTTTCTAAGCGTACATTTCGTTCTGGACATTTCTAAGCATGTCCTTGTTTTCCTGTTTCCTTGCCTTGCCTTTGTGTTTTTGAATTAGGATTGTTCCCTGTAGGCCCGGATTGGCTAATCGGGAGCACCGGGAGGATTCCCGGTGGGCCGGTCTGTTTTTTTGGCCGCGAGGGCCGGTGTTGTCATGCCACTGGGGTTGAAATATGAATGCTGTCCATAGGATGCCTGGACTGCCCCACTCTTTTTATTTATTATTTTACCACAGCCCCACTCGCAGGGTTGCCAGTCGTTCCTTATAATACGGAATCGTCCCGTATTTAAGGCATCAAAGAAGCGTCCCGTATGAAAGCTATACGGAATGCAGTTTGTCCGCGTTTTGATTTTGCCAAATCAGTTTGGGTGAATGCAAACTAGTGTTAATTTTGTCAGCTATTTTCAATTTTAGTCTTAGTCCCGTGTTAAAATGTCCTTGTTAGTTTTTATCATATCTAGTCAACCTTATTTAGTTTTAGTGAATTAACCCCCGGTTTCACAGACAAGGCTTAAGCTAGTCCCAGACTAAAATGCATGTTTGAGCTGTCTCAACTGAAAATATCTTGCTCTGACATATCTTAAAATATGTCAGTGTCATTGTTCTGTGTCAAGATGCACACCTGTAATGTTTTCTTCTATGGCATTTTTGTAAAAGTTGCTTAAATATCTTAATTTACCTAAGGCCTAGTCCTGTTTTAAGCTAAGCCCCGCTTGTGAAACCGGGCCTAAAAGTCTCAACATTTTAGTCTAGTTTTAGTCAATGAAAACTTGACATTTTAGCAATAAGATTATTATTAATTAACCGTAGAGTAGTATTAATTTTGGCAGCCATTTTTAATTTAGTCTTAGTCTTACTCAAATGTACATTTTATTCATCATATTTAGACAACCTTGTACTGGTTTTTTTATTCAATGAAATGTATGAGCATTTTAGTCAGGTTTTAGTCAATGAAATCTTAGTCACATTTTCGTCATTCTGTATAATGGTTAAACTGATAAAAAAAATGTTTTCCTCAAAATTATAATCGTAATGATTGTTGTCATTTGAGAAATGTACTTTTGCATTTCAGGTATTGCACTTTCTCCAGTAAGCACAAATCAATAGAATGTGGACACACACATGGTTTATTTGACCTCATCTAGTGTAGTGTTAATTTTGTCAGCTATTTTCATTTTAGTCTTAGTCTTAGTCCCGGGCTAAAATGTCCTTGTTAGTTTTTATCATATTTAGTCAACCTTATCCTATTTAGTTTTAGTAAAGTTTTAGTCGACTAAAAGTCTCAACATTTTAGTCTAGTTTTAGTCAATGAAAACTTGACATTTTAGCAATAAGATTATTATTAATTAACCGTAGAGTAGTATTAATTTTGGCAGCCATTTTTAATTTAGTCTTAGTCTTACTCAAATGTACATTTTATTCATCATATTTAGACAACCTTGTACTGGTTTTTTTATTCAATGAAATGTATGAGCATTTTAGTCAGGTTTTAGTCAATGAAATCTTAGTCACATTTTCGTCATTCTGTATAATGGTTAAACTGATAAAAATTATGTTTCCTCAAAATTATAATCGTAATGATTATCATTTGAGAAATGTACTTTTGCATTTCAGGTATTGCACTTTCTCCGAGATGCTGATTTCATTTTCCAGCAGGACTTGGCACCTGCCCACACTACCAAAGGTACCAAAAGCTGGTTCAATGACCATGGTGTTACTGTGCTTGATTGGCCAGCAAACTCACCTGACCTGAACCCCATAGATAATCTATGGGGTATTGTCAAGAGGAAGATGAGAGCCACCAGAACCAACAATGCAGATGACCTGAAGGCCGCTATCAAAGCAACCTGGGCTTCCATTACACCTGAGCAGTGCCACAGGCTGATTGCCTCCATGCCACGCCGCATTGATGCAGTAATTCATGCAAAAGGAGGCCCAACCAAGTATTGAGTACATATTCAGCGATCACAATCGCAAACAATACAGTCGAGATCCCATGACAGAACACAGACCGGCTGAATGATCCTTTCAATTAGATCGCTAAACTCCAGCTTGTTTGTAGGTGTTTCACATCATTGTCGGCGGGGCTTTCGCAATTCCGCTTCTTGAGCAGCGCGCGTGCGCATGGTTGCCAGATTGCTTAAAAAAAGCAAAACACCGGGCAGAAAATGTATCCATGTAACAGTGAAGCTCTGATTCGAAACTCTTGATATCTGGCAATCGCACACATGAAAGCTCTCATAGTAGAGGCGTGTAGAGCAGTCTGCAATAACATTTTGGCTGTGTCCGAAATCGCCCCCTATACCCTCATTCACTATTCCCTACACTTTATTTGACGAAAATAAAAAGAGGTTTTTGGTAAAGTTGTTATTTGTTTTTAATACATTTTAGCCTCGTCTTATTTTGTCAACAA